GCAGCTGGGCCTCCTGGGATGCGGCTCTCCCAGCCACTGGGTGCTGGGAGCTGGCAGGAGCAGCGCTGGGGGAGGGATTGATGGCCGATTCACTATGCCTGGGAAAGCAAGATGCGGAGCCTCTTAGCAGCCCTGAGCCCAGACCCCACTGTGAACTTACCATGCGACCTTTGGCAAATCATATGCCCTCTCTGACCCCTTCTCCCCACTACCCTCCAGTGGCCAATAGAAAGCCCTTGGGGAAGCTTGTTGAAGAACAAGTCTCATGAATGCACCCTATGCCAGGCCTCACTCCATAAGGCTCCGTCAGTCCAGCAGTTGGAGCTACAGCCTCCTGTCTGCTCCCCTTCCCCTGGAAATCCAGCATCTGAGTCACGACCAGGTGTCTTTACCTATTTTTCAAAAGCCAGAAGATGGTTGAACAGCCAAATCCGGTGGCCACGCTGAGATGGGACTCAGGTTGGGGTAGAGAAGCCAGGAAGCCACTGCTACACCGGCCATCCTGCCATGTGACCAGGTGGCTCACGGTTCTGGACTCGAACACAGGTGTGGCCCTTCCTTCTGTCCATTCACAGCCTGGAATAAAACAGATCGCCAACAAGGGAAGAGCAGAGCAACTGACCAGGTGCCAGCAGGTGCTGAGACGCCTCTGCTAATGAGTTCACAACAAGCAGTGTCACCCTGGGATGACGCTCTGCTCACACACATGAATCCGAGATCAGAGGGCCTGGCATTCGTACCTAACCTCACCCTGTAACGGCTGGGTAAGTCACTTCTTCCACTTGTCCTACTCTGTCTACGTTTCTTTGTAGCATACCCTTTAAGTTGAAGTCTTAGTTACCAAGTGCTGCTAGAACAGAAACACACACAGGAGGCTTGAAAGAGCAAAAAAAATCCATCTTTTCACAGTTTAGGAGACTAGAAGTCAAAATTCAGCTTTTAGTGACTTCCAGCAATGCCAAGGGGCATTCCTGGGTTTGTAGATGCATCTGGCTCCATCATCTATCTTCTCTTCCCCCTGCATAGGTTCTGTGTTTATTCTGCAGCCTTTATAACTCAGGTGTGATTAGATTTTGGACCCACCCCACTCAGCCATGACCGGAGCAGCATACCAAAGAAAACTCTGTTGCTACACAGGATCACACTGGTACCAGGGTCAAGATGCCAGTACACATTTAAGGGTGGATGTGGGGCACAGTTCAATACATAACAGTTGATATTGTATCTCCTCTCTGCAGCATACTGGAAAAGCCCCTGTCTTCCAAAAGTCTCTAGCTTCCAACCCTCCTTGTGATGATATTATGGGAGCTGTCTTTTTCATTTGTTTCTTTTTTCTTTCTTACTCTTTCTTTCTGTTTTTAAAGAGAAACATTCTGTGGAGTTGCACATCATCCATCTCATCCAATCAGAGATACCGAGTTAAACCCCCATAAATGTGTTTCTTTTTGTTTTCCCTCCTACCAGCCCTCCCTTCAT